TGGTATAAAGTATAACGGCAACAATGACCGTGTTGCGGTAGTGTTATCGTAATTTAATTAAATTAAAGTTTACTAAATATATGATCCTCATGATATAGATTGCGCGAATATTCTGAACGAATTTCCTTTGCTATGGACCAAAACGATTGTAGATAAGAAACCTGGCTATCCCTTTCATAGAGTTTTACTTATGGTTATCTAATATATCTCAACGTGAACGTACTGTTGCAGTTATAATGACTTCTGCTAGAGACTAATTGGTTTTTCGATAACAATTCGAGTTACCTATAAACTATAAGAAATTATAAATAGGAACCAGCTTATTGCTATACTAACATAGTGATGAAAACAAAATATATGTAGTTTGATTCCACTATTGTGATTGATTACTTTCGCTATCACCTCCTATTACATGGGACTCATAACTTAATAGTGAAAAGTGGGTGTAACATTGTACAGTAGCATTAAGTGCCGTAATGTGCATGTGTGATTTTTATGAATTTTCGTTATTATTCTCGAGAATTAGCAGAAAGTCTAGAATTCTTTATAGTGTGTACTAAATACTAACGTATATTAAGCTAATTAATGTAGTAAGATATAACGGGTAACTAGACCATCTGCCTACCCTTTCATAGAATAACAGAATTTACGTTATATAATTTGCAACACAACAGTCTTTCTTCATTCCAGATCTTAACACCAAATATAAAGTTTTGTAGGACATCACACTAGATTATAAGTCATATCCTCTACCTTTTTATTGAATAAATAAATTATAAATATTTTGTGGTCAGTAGACACTGAAAACTAAAAATAACAATCAAATACGGCAACTAGCATTAAAATAAAGTATTTATTCAGCAAACTCTAAAATAACGCTCAAACTCATTGTTTTAATAGAAAAAAAAACACAATTTTAACCAAAAAGTAAAGGAAATTCTCCTTAAAAAAAGAGAGCTAAGAGGCTCCTAAAAAGTTAGTAAAAATATCAGCCGCGTACCAGTTGTTTGTGTTAGAGTACCCCGTATGAATTGATCGGGCTCCCTCCTCGTGTGGTATGTTTGCCCACGAACAGTTCCCACGCCTAATCCCCTCGGTTCAGCGGCTAATACGTAAGGACGTTGCTCGTTATTTATTGAGTTCCATTCCCGAGATTTTCAAAGTTTTCATATATGTATGTTTGTTGGGTAAAGATGCAATCCTTATATTTCTTTTTCCGACGTGATGTATTTCAGGAGCGTACATATTATTCGATAAATTTTACACTCACTTTTTGCGAATCACAAAAAATTCCTTTGTAATAGTGGGCGAGTCTGTTATGGCATAATTAAATCGAGCAGTACCTACAATTCCTAATTCAAAATATAAAAACATAAAAGTCTCGATAATATTTGATTAAAGAGTAAAATAGAGAAGTAATAATATGTAGTCGGTAAGTATCAGAAAACCGAGAAGACTACACGAAACGTGCTACGCCTGCGAAGAACTGAAAAGCAAAAGTTTACTCAAACGAAACTCCATTCATCTACCTAGAATTATGAGTGTATATGATTGTAATGTAACTTAGAATTAGTTACCTTCTAATAAGGTTCTATTTCCCCACGTGGTATACTTTCTGTATTTACTCATTAAATTAATTATATAATTTCAACTTAAATCTTACTTTAAAGTCGCATACTTGCATTAAAATCTACTATGTAATTTTGAAGACTTCTACACGCTTTTAACAAAATTAATAATAATTACTATCTGGCAGTATAGCCGAAAACTTTATTGGAGCCTTAGTTGCTATTCAAAAAGAAAACAAAAGGTTTTTTTTAAATCAACACATTCTTATCTCAAATACCAGGCACAAACTGTCAACGCAACGACCGTTTATGCACAGATAAATAAACATTCCATAAAAAAAAAGAAATCACAAATCTGATGCCGTAGCACGTAGCATCTATTTTTCGTAGGGCTAGTCGTAGCTGTGCTACGAAGGGCTACGAGAGTGAAATATTTCAATTTATTTTATTTATTTTTGTTTTATTCACGAGATGTCATTTGTTACTGTCTCGTAGTGATCTGAAGTTCCTACTGAGATAGTTTTAAGGTGAATTTATATAGGTTCCGGATTTGAAATTCTCTGTAGTTGCGCGGAGCCTAGTCCAGAATAGGTAAATACATATTCATAATCTTATAGCAATTATAAATCTGGATAAAACTTCAGTGCTCAGGGTCCACTGCTTATTTGTAGAAAAAGTTACATTTTGCTATTTTATATTGTTTTTTTATTGATAGGTCTTCGGTCTATGAGATTTTACAATTCGTGTTTATTATCACTAATTAGATGATTAAGTAAGTATTCGTATCTGATGACAATTAAAACCCTTATTTTCTTCTTAAAATATTTTTATTACTTAATTCAATGTTAAATATTAATTTTAAAAAGTACCTAAGTACTAAAAAGATTCATCAAGAATATTTCACCTAGAATATTAAAATTCTCAATATCAATAATTTCTCTTATCTCTGTGCACGTGTACAATAATATAAACAAACAAAACATTTCATTGTTATTGTTTACGCCGGATTGTTTATTTACATTTACGAACTCACAACGCCATCTGGCAGTTCAGTTAGAACTATTTAGTACAGTAAGAAGTTCGATGTGCTCCCGTAAGATGGCAGCACCACGCCGAAAGAAATGTTTGTTAATTTTTTTATAGGTAGGTAGTATAGTATATCAGGTACTAGACGGTCCTTTCATTCGTTAAGGGCTACCGCTATAGGGCGTTGCGTAATTTAATCCTTGGCGTGTCCAATTACCATGGGTACGTAATACGTGTCTCAATACAAAAGGTAAAAGTGTTAGTAATACCAGTAATACTTTGACTTCCAAGGACATTTATCAATTAATGCAACGTTATAGGAAACCTAAGGGCTACATATATCCTTTACTAACTAAGTAGATTCTCTAGTAAATGTCAATTTGTTCATTCTTTGAGAAAACTGGGGAAGTTTAATATAGCTTGGTCGACAGTCGCGTTTACGGCAGTTTAAATAGCATTATTTTAAACTAATGTCAGCCCTCTCTCATCTACAACCTCATTACCTATGTATTTAGCCCTTACGACATGGCCATAGCTAACAAGCGGTACTTTTCAAATAAAGCTGTAACAGTTTGGTTATTACCTCACCATTGACGCGGAAAACAAATGTGGAGTTTCAACAATCTACATACCATAATATCCTATGTGAAGTGTCGTAATCCGAAATATTTCAAACTCCAAATTTGACCACAGACTGCTGTTATACTGGCTTCTAATATAAGGTGTTAATTATACAAGTAATGCTTTAATGAGCTCTATTCCACCTATCAAGCTTTTCTCTTGATATTCATAATAGAGGTAGTTGTGAAAAAAAAGTTAATACAATATCGTATGGTCATCAAGACCAAAGTGTGTACCAAATATGAGATCGATCTGTCGTGAGGAAGGTGGTGAAATTTTAAATACTCAAGACAAACAAACGGGGCAAACAAAATAAACTGTTTAAATTATAAATCACATAAAACAGTCGATTAGGAGTTATCAAATCTCATATAAAGTTAAGATTGAATTTCTTCATGCCTCGGTATTGCTGCAAAATACTAAATCCGTGACTCGTAGCGCGTAGCACCGTTTTTTTGCTATTAATCTCGTCTTGTGCTCAAACCGTGGTCTCAACCAGCAATTCAGTCACATGAAAGGAGATTTATAAACTCTAAATCTTAGTCAAAATGTAAAAGTATTTTTTAAGTTATTCCATAATAATAATATGATTGGTAACAAAACAGAGAAGCCAAGCAATAGTATTTTGATTAAGGCGTAGAGTTTGTAAGCTTTTTAATTAAGCCGACACACCAATTGAGTCTACGGTTTGCACGTCTCCGAGATTCATAGCGGGAAAACGCTGACACGCACTATGAACTACGCACTACGAGCTACGCACTACGAGCTACGCACTACGAGCTACGCACTACGAGCTACGAACTACGCACTACGAACTACGAGCTACGCACTACGAGCTACGCACTACGAGCTACGAACTACGCACTGCGAGCTACGCACTACGAGCTACGCACTACGAGCTACGCACTACGAGTAACGCACTATGACCTAGGCGTTACGTGCTTATACGTTACGCGGTACGGCTGTAGTATATTTTTTTATTTTTTGAGTTTTAATTAACTAGTTAAACACCTTAAGAATTTTGGTGATCATCAATGACTGAATCAATGACGAAATTGAAGTTTTTTAGTTAACAATAAAACTAGTATTATAAACAGCTGTGGAATTAAAATTGTATCGTAAACGTCTATGTATTTTGCATACAGCGTTTCTGTGGCCTAATAAATATTTCTTTGGAAATATTGTAGGTATATAGTAGGTACTGTACCTATATACTACCGGATCCATTTCGGTGAGTGTTATGGGGGCAATTGCACAACTTGATTCCCCCTAAATCGTTCCCCCTTTCCATCATCGTACCACAAGGCAATCGGCGAAGCGTCACAGATTCATGGTAGATGTCCCACCCACATACACGAAGCGCTTTGCATTAAGCTTCCTTGTGTGTAATGCAGGTATAACCTGGATGTCATCAAGGCCCGAGTGATTAGATTGCTTATGGGTCGACGTGCTCCATCGTAGACCGCATCATCGCTTACCACCAGGCGAGAAGTGGTCAAACGTCGGCCCATCAAATAGGTATAACAAAAATACCAAGCCATATAGTACGGCAGAATAGAATGTGTAGATTTGTAACCACTGCTACTCCTCACGTGGGTGTAGTTAGAACCGAGTACCTAACCTACCTAAAAGTAGTTCCTTTAGGCTTATTGAACAGATATTTGTAAGCTATAATGACCTAAAAATAAATGTAATTTTCCTGCAAGCTAAGCGTTTTTTTTTAGTTATGGAAATAGGAAAATAGTTGAGAAGGGTATACAAAAAAGGTAACACATGATGTTTTTTTCTTAATTTTTATTTTTATGTACAAATAGAAATTCCCTTAGGTAAAATAAACTTACTTAAGTCTTAAATTATGATACTGTACAGAGTTTGTACGACGGAATGCGGGCAGTGGTAGAGAGATCCCGATGTAGGAGTTATGGCAAGTCCTTAAATGTGCTGGTGCTTAATAAATACGATGTAGTACGATGTGCAACCTCTATGGAGTGTAGCTTGTTAAAATCGAACGCTATATCTAAGTGTGTAGAACTTGAATTCGTTTGAAAGAACACTAACGATACGTTAGCCAATGGCATCTGGACATCACTGTGACGTCAGATGGAGAATTTTGATTTGAATAGTAAAGCAGTGCTTAACTATCGGTTAAGAATAAACCTTTGATATTGCCATTTTAAACCAATTAAACACTAGGTGAAACTAGTGATAATACTAATTAGATACCAATAGTGTCTAATACTGTCGATAACATCGACACTACAGACACTGCTGATACAAATATTACCGACAGTTAGTACTACCGTACTGTAATGTTTGGTATGTAAAGTTAGGGGGATCACAGACGGAGACCGGGGTTGGTGCTAGCTACGTAGTTGAGGAGCTCGTCAGAGTCCTCGCAGACGATGGGCTTCTCGTGGTAGCAAGCAACATCGTGCCACGCAATACCGTCATTGTACACATTGTTCAGGATGCTGAGACAAGACTCTGAGGTGCCGTTGATATCGAACTCCGCGTTGTCAGGCTGACGTTGCTTCTTGTGGCCAGTCTGAGACCAAGGGTTGTAGCCCCAGCCGTTGGGGATCTGTAAGGAAAGTTATATTTAATTAATTGTTATCGAATCTTGAGTGATTTAGCACAAAGTCCCTAATAAGTCTAAAACAGGGATAAAAATATCCTAAAAATTGTTGACAATCACCTCGCAATTGCTAATAGTGAACCGGACTTTCTAACATAAACAGCTAGGGCGCGGCCACTGGCATTAATGTGTACCTACTATACTATAAGTACTATGAATACACTCATTCAAATTACGCATCTCGGACAATCAATTACTCGTTAATTGGACAAGTTTGTTAAACACCAATAGTATTGCAAATTGAGGTTACCAATAATAAACACCTCAATGAGTGCCGATGTAGTGAAACACTGCACTTGAGTAATATAACGTAATCCAAGACTCAAGTACTTCAGTGTTTGAAAATGCGTAATACCTCAGCTTTCTCACAACAAACACGAATTGTACGAATGTACGCGCAGGTGTGTCTTCGAAAGTTTATGATTCAGTAAATAAGTACGTGTCGGTAATACGGTAATAGCAAATTTCCTCAGTTCCTCTTTACGTTGACAACCATATGAATCGCATTAGTTCCGACCGTAACAAAGAAAATTTACGAGTAACTTACGACAATGTACTTATAACAGGAATTTGGTTCGCTCTGTTACTTAGACGGAACATGAGGACAAACAGAACTTTCTTTTTGCGGATAATTTTAAAAGCGAACTTAGAATTTTGTGTTTCTAACTTTAGGTAAAGACATTGACGTCTTATCCTAGTCAAGGATTAGCTTCTCCTGTGTTATTCTAGACCATATAATCTATCTCTGTACCAAACATTCAAATCCCTTCAGTAGTTTTTTTGTGAAAGCGTCACAAACAAATATACATCCCTACAAACTTTTGCATTTATAATACTAGTAGGTACAAAAAGTAGAATTAAGAGTTTTCTACTGACCTGGGTGGTAGGAGACAGCTTTTCACGGTTTGCGGACCAGAACCATCCGAAGACGTTCTTGGGCTCGAGGTCTTTGCGGTTTTCGCAACCTTTGAAGTCACAGAGGCGACCTGACGTCCAGATGTAGGGCACGTCATCTGCAATAATACATGTATCAGTTAGTGTCATCAGCAGATTTATCCTTGCAGAGTTAAGGTATTTACAAAGGGACAAGTCTCTACGAGCCTCCACGAGCTTCTCAGTATTAGAATCATAAGTTTAACAAAATAAAAAGGCACAGGGTCACACATCAAATGTGTTAAGATTTGCCATTACATATTTATAAAAATTATCTAACGCTGTTGTTAGTGAAATGTGAAGGTTCCCAATTACGTGTCGCCTTCACGATACAAGTACTTTAGTTAGAGGATGGTCAACAATTTCACAACATTTGTACTCACTTTGCTGAATGAGTTTGAAGATTAGATTGTTTTCTTCTTGCGTCTCCATGGAGACCAGGTCCATGCAGTATTCGCGGCAGATGTTACGGCCATCTAACCAGTCTACCTTCCTGTTGGCGAGGGCGGGCACGTGGCCGCTGTAGAAGTAGTTGTGACCTCGGTAGAAGAACTCTTTTGGTCCTAGAAATAAAAGAAAGAGAATTGTGAATAAATAAACAGACAATGCATAAACAAAAGCATCGGAGTCAAGGTTGTGTAGTAACAGTTACTGAAACAAATCAATAATATTTTACACCATATTTTGTCTACTTAGCGAGTCGTTGATAGGACAAACGAAGACCGAAGACCCTCAGTGAGACAGGTCAAGTACCTAAACATCAGAGTGTTGTATCATGGTCGTGACATTGAGGTGCCTGCGAGCAATTGTGTTAAATTATCACGAGCCACGTTAATGTCGCAACGTCTCGGACGTTACATAACGATACAGGCCACGCATCGTGACCTTTCCTCCTTACATAAAAACGCAAGCAACATATTTCAACCTGCATATGGATAATGCTAACAAAAAACAAGTAAATGTTATGATTCCTAAATTAGAACAACTTCGACTTAAATCACGAATGTGGATCGATTTATAAGACAGGTAGATCGTCCTTGCGTTTATTTATTTTAGCTTTCAAATGTCATGTAACATTAGATGCATTCCGTTCCAAAATGTACATTTTTAGTAGCTATTATTTATGAGTGATTGTTGCTCTCATGAAATATGCACTCGCTAATGATGTGAGAGTCATTCTAAAGTTGGTATTTGAGCCTTGACAAATATCAGACTGCACAGCAGATGGTCCGATACAATTGGTAGTTCACAAGTTCAATTACTTAAATACACAAACGATGCAGCTAGTACCTACTTAGCACTGAGCGTTTGTATACAAAACGTTTGTACATAGCTATGGAGTGGAGCTAAAAGCATCCACGACCTACATACTTAGCGCCTATTTGTCGTGCTACTAACTGGACCGTACGGTGTCAATTCTTTCATCATTTGATCAAATACTGGGCAGAACAACAGTTCTGCAACAGCATGAAGTTTGTTTGTTCTTAGTATATTAGGTATGTGCGGAATGATTTTGGCAGACGATGTTGCAATGACCGCGGTGGTGCGGCGGTTTGCGGCTGCGGGCGGCGCCGCGCGGCGCACAGATGCGTCGGTCACGCGCCGCGCCAACTGGGCCAAGGATCGCTACCGGATGCGATTTTTATATTTAACCAACCGGCTAGTTCACGCCCATTGTCAACGCGACGATCCTAATTATCCGCATTATTAGATGCCTGATATGAAAATTTGCAATTATTTAGCGTTTCATATCTAATTTGTATGTTACATACCTACGTATATTATAAACAATATGCTTACAAAGTTTGTATATAAGTTTTCCTCGTGTACTTTTGAACTTTTATGTTAACTCTGTGACGCTGAAAACTTCACGGCCTCCATATAAATGTTGGTAATAAATTAGCTATCTACTTGTAAATCCGAATTAAGATAATTACCGTGTCTCAGCTTAATCGTGAAGGTTCTTTATTTTTTGTTTAAAGTCCTATTTAGATGATAATTATAGTGAATTGCAACGTTATTAGTGTTTCTGATTACAATGTGAATGTGTTGAGGTTCGCACGACAAGACGACGTACACAATGATTGTGTTACCTTGCTAAGTGACAGACAGACTGACGAATGTGCGATTGTCTTCTTAAATCCGGCACGGAGAGGCTGACATCAAACGCACGAATATCTAACTTGCTTTATAACTTACGCGAGACAATAAAGCTTTCATTAAGTTCAGTATTTTGCCACAGATTGGAATTTTATAGTATTCATAGGTATTAGATTCATCTTTTGAAGCCTGCTTGCTATGCTAAAATCTGTCTTGTAGTCAGATATTATTTACCTAACATTAGACAAAATATTAGAGAAATATAATACATTCCTTGTAAGGAGCAACTGTCTGTTTTATCTTATTTAAGAAATATTGTAATCATCTGCCTCACCTCTATGCTTGTAACTTACGATAATTGTTAAAGTTATCGTCAATTATATTATTATCTCTCATACGTACAGAGATCTTAAGTTATAAGTACTAATCCAAACTTCGTGCTTCTGAGTATTTTGCAATCGAAAACTCAATAACGCACTGCTCGACCCGAGAATCGCAACAATCACTAAACCATTATGAATTATGATTTATTGAATCACATTTACTGTAAAACTGATGACGAAATTCAAGTTAATCGAATATCTTCAATATAATAAATGTTAAGTATAAATAAACTTATTCTGGGAACATAAGTTTTGCAATAAGTAGAGCTAGATAAAATAAAATTAGATACTGAAAATATATTGAATTAAAAATTGCGGGTTACTCAGTGAATGTACTGAGAAAAGCTCTACTGGTTTCGAGTCACAGAAGGGCTCTTCCTCATGAGCAGCGTGCGCGGTCGGGGCGATGTCGCGCAGCCTGATGAAAATATTTATATTCCTAAAATGTGCGTAACCAATCCGAAAATACGAAACCATAAAATAGTGTGACTACACAAAACAGATCGGTCTGAAATTAATCTAATGAATCGCGTCATTTAACAGACTTGTAACTTTATTGGGTTATTTATTTCGCAATATTGAAAGTAAATAAGTACGAATAGTTATTTTACATATAGTACCTAATGAAAGACACATATTCAAAATATTAATTGCACTTAAACAGTTTCGCTGAAATACTCAAACGAGATGGCACGATATTTAAGTACGGTAAAATGGGGTGAATAGAATTCGAGGAGTGAATATAGAAACGGGGTGGATAATTAGTGTTAGAATATTTTCCTAACATTTATTCACCCCTCTTTCTGTATCTATTCACCCCGTTGTATTGTACAACTTAAAATTTAGTAGCATTTCAGTATTCCGGCGTTAGACATATTATTTGCCTATTCAGAAAATTAATCAAATTTTAAGTAGTTTCAGACCTATTCTAAAGATGTATTGAAAAAACTTAGTTTCATTTATATTACATAGTAGTTGAATTAATGTTATCCGTACGCATTCAAGAAGACAGGAAGCATTAGCAATGAGAAACTACTTCGTGCACTTAAAAGTCAGTAATAACAAGCTTAAGTAGTAAATATGTGATAATTTATACGAGCTGTAAAATTATACGAACATTATTCTTATTCAAACAGTCTAACATTAACTTATGAAGCATTTGATTGACAAATACTGAATGATTTCATCTAGGTAAAGGTCTTTATCGTCAAGTTTGTATCTTCTAAACTAGCTTATGACAGCGGCTTCACCCGCATTCTTATGGGGTGAAAAGTAACAAATGTGTTATTTCAGACCATAATTTAGCCGCCTTTCAAATTTCAATCCGATCCCTTCAGCCGTTTTGACGTGATCGAATCTATTGTATACAGATAACTACATATAATAAAATCGTAGAAAAGTCGAAACTACGCATAGATTATTTTTATAAAAGAACACTTAGGGCGTGATCTATGGTCGATACTGAAGCCAAAAATAGGATTTATAAAATTTTTGTCTGTTTATCTGTATGTATATCCGGGATGATCTCAAAAAGTACTGCATGAATTTACTTCAAATTTTGTATGATTATTACTAACAGGTCGGGTCAACATTTAGGCTACATATTATTACGCTATCATCTACAGGGTAAGCGAAGTAAATCACTATTCCACGCGAACGAAGTCGCGGTCACAGCTAGTAACGAATATACACACAAACATATAAAATCCCATTTGTAATATTATGCTAGACACATGAAAATGCAAAGGTATTTCCCTCTACATCCTTTTGAGGTTTCAGCTGTAAATAATGAGAATTTCTAGGTAAAATTATGAACTAAAACCATTTTAATGACGGTGTTTGAGTTTTACGAAGAGACGTATAATAGCTGTACTGTCTGTGCTATAATTACGCTACCACCCTTTCCTGGAAAACTGCAGTGGTATTGTTTCACAAAGAGGTCTCTATACGGTTAGTATGATGCAAATGCATTTATAATAAGTATCTGTTTATTCAAGTATCAATTTATGCCATTAAGGTTTATAAATCTAGAGGTTTAGGTTACTTCATCTACATACGATACGAGTACCATTCGCAAATGCACAGCTGAATTTCGCCATGCAGCGCATCAAGTTTTAAAGCCGTAATTTATCTTTATGTGCCAGGGATATAACATAATTTGAAAGTTTTACCGTTATTCCAATAAATAAATAATCTGTTTATACGAGACGTGATACCTGATATTATCTGTGGTTATGCCCATGAACTGCCACATTTTGAACCCTTGAACTTAGAATGGTTTAAATTTCGAATGCGTCGACACTATTTCAAAATTTGCCGATGACTTTGACTTTGAAATCGTGAACTTAGAAATTAATTTTAGATGCGAATCTACAATGATGTAGGTAAAAGAAAACACACAAGAAACTTAATACATAGTTTTATTTTAGCAAAACTAGTCATGAACCGGAATCGGTAGAAAAAATGTGAAGATCTAAAGATCTAACGTATAAATACGAAAAAGTTGGACTATTGTAGGCATTTATTTTATAAATCACCTTTTTTGGAAAATGTAAATAGGTATCAAAGATTTGTTCAGAGTTTGTGTTTTTCCTTACGTAGATAATAAATAGGTACGTTTCAGAAAGTCTTGAGACGACTTAACAGTAAAATATTAATTATTGACATATTTCTCTATCTCTTGTTTCATCATAATGGGTATCATATGACAGGAGTTTTTTTAAGACAAAAGAAAAGGTCGTCAGAATATGTGTTGTAGTGTATGTAAATAAATGAAGCTTGTTACTTGTCTAACATAGAATAAATGATGACCCTAGTGACATACACAAAGCTTATAATAATTACGTTTTCAAGGATATGTAATGCGAGGTTTTTACATAATACGTACGGCATGGCCTTGTACCTCTAACGAGACACAATACATCTGCCAGCTGCAGCACTGCAGAAGAATTACTGCACCAATCTACCTCAGGGTCGAAGAGGGAGCAAAATGGCTGCAACTATACGTTGACGAAATATAACCCCAACGACCTTTGACATAAGCAATACAATAGCTCGTGATCAACCACCCCTATCCTGCG